CCCTGCTGAGTCTGTGGCCCGGAAGCCGCTCTCCAGAGCTCAGGCGGGAGGACCTCTTGCCCAGCCTAGTTCGTCACCAGGAGTCTGCAGGCATCTCAATCCACGAATTCTTTACCCCTTTCCCTTAGTAGGCCATAATTTGATTCTGTGGATTTGTACTCCCGACCCCCCTTTTTGCATATTTCGACTCCCTTTGCCTTGGTGGGAGCTTCCACGCTGACTTTCCTCCTCTTCCAACTTCTCTTCCATCTGCCGGAGGCCGGATGGATCCTCGCTCACAGCTGGACCCAACCTCTATCCCCGCATCCGTGGCTCCGGCAATGACCGCTCTCCCGAAGTTTCAAATCCACGTGCCTTGGACGTGTCCTTTAAGACATCTCCCAACCCGTTCAAGGCCGAACTCATTACAGTTGTACCCTTTCTTTGGGGGACTATGTTTCAAGACCCCCAATGGATGCCTGAAACTAGGAACTGTGCTTTTTCCTTTACATACATAAAATACAGTTGGCACATTCAAATTGCCAGCACCAGTACTCTTGGCACTTTAGGGACATCATTAGGTAAGATAAGGTTTATTTGAACATAAACACTGTGACATCTTGACATTCTGATCTGATAACCCAGATGGTTACTAGCTGACTAACCTGGGGTAGCATATACAGCGCGGATACTGTGGACAAAAGGATGATTCATATCGAGGGCCAGAGGGATTGTAATGGCATGAAATTTCATCTTGTTACTCAGAGTGGTCAGCAATTTAAAACTTATGAATTGTTTATTTCTGGAATTTTTCATTTAATATTTTGGGATATTATTAAATATTACAGTTGACCCAGAGTAACTGAAACAGGGGAAAGCAAAACAGCTGATAAAGAAGACTTCTGTACTTCTCTCTCCTCTGTAACTCCATTATTAAATCATCTAAAGCAGAAACCCAGGAGATCCTCTATGGCCCCAGGTACCAACCGTGCATCCAGCTCCTTTACCTGCTGCTGCCTTGCCCTTCGTCAGCTGTCTTTTGTTTGGACTGCGGCAGTCCTTCTAGCCCCTCTCCCTGACACAGCCACACTCCCCTCATACCTCCTGCTCATCATTTCTGAAGCATCACTCTTAAATGGAAATCAGCATGAGTCCCTCTGCCTCTGTGGCCTATCACCACTCAGGATAAAGACCAAAGAATCTGCCAGGATCCCGTGCATTTGCTGAACATCTGAACTGATAAACCTGACTCCTTTGTGCTGAAAGTAGTGTTGGAGGAGGGCACTTCAGAGTAGACCAGGAGGAGAAGTTGCGGTGGAAGCAGTGGAGAGGACAGAGAAGCTGGTATTGTAGTAAAAAGCTCCCAGTAATCCTCAGATTATTGGAAGACAGGGGAGAGAAACTTGTCTTCTATCGTTTCCCTTTAATTAAAAAGTCAGTATGTATAAAGGAATGTTTTACCATCCTAGTGAAGGTGGTAAAAAAAGTTAAAACCCTGAACCCACAATTTGCTATGGAATCCGCTATTGAATTTGCTATTGAAGCCTTTGTACAAGACGAAATGTCAAAGCTCACACTTTGCTAACACAAGGTTTTTTAGGCCCATTTGTTGCAAGATAAGACCAGAGCAACAGTAACTCCCCAGAGGTGCATGAAAGAGGACTGAACTAGCAACTCTGACTATTTTACAAACTCTAACCTATTTCAGTGCAGATTGCCCTCAAGGGGCGTTAGGATACCACCTCCCGAAGTCCCTTTCCCCTCCCCCCACTTCCCACCCTTCTGCCCACGCTTCTTCTATCCTTCGCTCAGCAAGGTTAATAAACAAGCTTTGTATTATCAGCAGCCTTCTCTTGTGGTTTGCTGTGTATGTAGGGAGACTTCTCAAGCCGGAACATAGAAAATGGGCTGTCTAAGGAAAGAGTCAATAAAAGAAATGAATTTCAATTGCAATTCAGGAAAAATTTTGTAACAAGACTGGTAAAGTGAGGATGTTCATGTTAGGTAGGGCGTTCCAAAATAAAGGATATTTTTACAGTCTTTTACATGTGGGGGCAAATATGGAGGCTGGAATGTACGGGGCAACATCTCGCAAAACAGATCGACGCTTAAAGTCGAGAGTAAAGAGGATATACTGAAGATGAGTGTCTCATTACCAAGGGTACCTCTTTTTTGACCTCACCTGGAAAACAGGCGGCGGAGGTGAGAACGCGGAATCTCGACCTCTATATCCCCTAGTAAGGTGCTGGCATATCACGAGGCTACGTTTTAGACTGATGAACGTCCAGGCTAGTGGGTCCCGGAGTCCCACTGCAGCTTCGGGAAGCCACGTATCCTTATTCCCAGCACTTCATGTCCGAGACACCCGGGCGGGTCTTCTGGTAAAACAGAAGGCGCCTGGTCCAACTTGAACGTAGGTAGGCGGACGTGGAATGGCCGCCTGAGGGACAGATTTTGGAATTTGTCCGCCGACACCCAATCCCCGCTCAAATCTCTTAAGGCCTGCGAGGGCTTTAGTGTGGGGTGTAATGCAACTTGAGGTCCTTCGCTCCACTACGGGTGATCACTTTTCTACTTCTGGCTCCCACCGTCCGTGAAGCCTTTGGTGGGAACAGAGAGTTGCTTCTGCAACGAAATACCGTTTCCAAAAAGGTTGACCTTCCGCGCCCAACGTGGGGCTCGAACCCACGACCCTGAGATTAAGAGTCTCATGCTCTACCGACTGAGCTAGCCGGGCGACAGGTGAAAGGGAGTGTTTTGTCTCAAGGGACAAGATTTAGATACAGGGATGCGAACACTTTGAGAATTAACTGTACAACTATCATGGACCGCTTGCTGTGCGCCTAGCTCTGTGCTAGTCACTAGGTTCCTCGACGTGGGAGAGATAGCCCACTGAGCTTCTGAGGGGAAGATTAAAAGATTACTAGCTGCAGTTGGAGACATCAATTTACATTTCGAGCCCTCATTGAGAGCCTGTTGTAAGCTGATTCTCATTTGGTCCCGCTTCAGTCACTGACTCCCTCAAACAGATACGGATAGACATACACAGGCCCTTCTTTCCATGTGACAACCACCTGTCCTCCAGATGCAGGGGTGAAAAAGTGACTGCAAAATGGGTGAAAAAGTGACTGCAAAAATGGACTCCAGATCAAAAGAGTGTTTCCGCCCGGTTTCGAACCGGGGACCTTTCGCGTGTGAGGCGAACGTGATAACCACTACACTACGGAAACTCACCACTTTTCGCCTGGACTGACACCTCCCTGCATCTACTGTTGGCCGTGATTGGTTGGGCTAGAAAGAAGCCCAAGTTACAGCGGGCTCTGGTCGGGTCTTGCGGTCGCACTTCTATGCCACAGTAGGACTCGCAGCTCCTGGAATGGCCTAGTATAGCCCACCCACGAAGACTCGTAGTTTTGGCACCACCCCCTTAGGAAGCACAGGTCCAGTTGGAATTCTCCCGAGGCGGGGGTAAAATTATGCGTGCCCTGCCCTGGCATCACTCAGCGCCAGCAATCACTGGGGAGTCTGTACACGAATTATGGTCCTGTAACTTTCACTGCAGTCTTTTCAAAAAATTAAACGACACAACTTTAAAAAGCATCAAGTATTATTTCTCGCAAAATAATCTATTTGACATAGATGCTTACAGTGACATCTTTACTAATACAGTTCTACATCCCGGATACGATTCTCTCAAGTAAAATCAATACCACAAACCCATTATGAGTTCCTCCTCTGAGACTGGGACCCCATGAAAATAGACCTTGAGCGCGGATTTTGGGAGCGTAGCACGAGTAGTGCACAGCTCGGAAAGTGATGAATGAGAATAGGCATTTAGAGAAAAAAGGTTGGGTTTTGTGTGTGTGTGGGGGGGGTCTGTCTTTAAGGCAATATATTTATTTAGTTCGAAATTCAAAAAATACAGAACCATATACCATATATAGATACCAAAAAGTATCCTTCCTATCTCGGACCCTCGGCATTCCCAGAGAAGCTCTGCTACTATTTTTCCAGAGACAGACGTAGACGATGATGATAACGGGTAGCTAAACCATATTATCTCACTATATGCTAAGCAACATTCTATCGCTTTGTATGATATTAACTCTAATTTCACAATTAAGGATAATAGAAACTATTATCTTTATTTTATGAGTAACCACAGGATTATAAAAATATCAAATACAGTTAACATCCTCCCCTTGTTCCTTTTTTACTGATGGCAGTGCACTTTACACACTGTTGGGTACCTTGCTCTTTTTCACGTAATACATCTTGAAGAAGATTCCTTTTTACAGCTGGAGTGTTTCACTATGTGAATGTGCATGTAATGACTTGCCACTATCCCTTTGCTGATGTGCAGTTAGTAAAAGTTCTTGCAATGCGACAGTGACCGGATGGTAGTTTTTAAAATAGGTGTGGAGACTTCAACTACAGAGCGGAGAAAGGGAAGGGTCTCTGTAACACCCCTCACCCGCACTTCTTCAGGCCCCGTCCACCGACGATCGCCGAGCAACGCTACAAGTCCTCTTACAATAAAGTCTTCTGCCTAGAAGGGCCGGAAATACTTTAGGGCGTTCACCGAGACCCACCCCTCCGCTTCCGGCATCAGCTCTGGGGTCTTCGTTGCAGTCCTCCGTGTGCGGCGATAGGATGGCGCCGGCCGATGTGGTCGTAGCACCTACAGAGGATGACTGCAAAGGCTTCCACTGTCTTCCGAAGTTTACCCCCGGTGGATGGGGGAGGCGCGTAGCCGGTCCTTCTGTTTCGTCTTTGTTTCTCGCTGGCCCGCACCACAGAGATGTGGATCTCTATCGTTCAAGCCCTCCCGCTCTGCACCCGAGTGGATGCTAGAGCGTCTCCTCGTCGTTTCCTGTTGTCCGGGGCCCGGGGCGGGAAGAATGGAGCAATGCGCGACCGAGGAAGGAACTCTTTAGCTTGGGTGGCCTGTAGGCTCCGGAAGTGTTGAAAGGAAGACCGGAAGCGAGGGGGCGGGCCAGGAAGTGATGAGGGGCGGGGGGTTATGAGGAGGCCCAGGGAGCGTTGGGGCAGATTTGCACTCAGGGCCACCTGAGGGACTTGGCGGTAGCGCTCAGCTGTGTCCTCTCCCCTCGCAGAGGCACAGTTGTCGTCTGGGAGTAGGAAACTGTTGAGGGGCGGGTTGTCGGGAGGACATTTCTCTGGCTGCGCTAGAGGCAAGGTGTGGAGAGGCAGGGCTGGGGGTGGGGCCGGGTCGTCAGGGCGTCTGAGAGGAAAGACCCCCCCGCCCCCTGCCCCCCCGAACCATCTACACTGGCTGAGTGGACATTAAGATGGCTGCCGTTGCCATGGCACCCAACCCTGTGCAGACCCTTCAGGAGGAGGCGGTGTGCGCCATCTGCCTCGATTACTTCACGGACCCAGTGTCCATCGGCTGCGGGCACAACTTCTGCCGAGTGTGTGTAACCCAGTTATGGGGAGGGGAGGATGAAGAGGACAGGGACGAGTTAGACCGGGAGGAGGAGGAGGAGGAGGACGGGGAAGAGGAGGAGGTGGAGGCTGTGGGGGCCGGTGGGGGCTGGGACACTCCCATGAGGGATGAAGACTATGAGGGTGACTTGGAGGAAGAGGTTGAGGAGGAAGAGGAAGGTGTGTTCTGGACCGGTGGCATGGGCGGGTCCAACTGGGACAACATGGACTATGTGTGGGAGGAGGAGGATGAGGAAGAAGACCTGGACTACTACTTGGGGGACATGGAGGAGGACCTGAGGGGGGAGGACGAGGAGGAGGAAGAAGTGCTGGAGGAGGATGAGGAAGAGGAGCTAGACCCTGTCACGTCACTGCCCCCGCCTCCGGCCCCTCGGAGGTGCTTCACCTGCCCCCAGTGCCGAAAGAGCTTTCCCAGGCGGAGCTTCCGCCCCAACCTGCAGCTAGCCAACATGGTCCAGGTGATAAGGCAGATGCATCCAGCACCGGGTCGGGGGAGCCGTGGAAATGAGCAGGGCATTTGTCCCAAACACCAAGAAGCCCTGAAGCTCTTCTGTGAAGTGGATGAAGAGGCCATCTGTGTGGTGTGTCGAGAATCCAGGAGCCACAAACAGCACAGCGTGGTGCCATTGGAGGAGGTGGTGCAGGAGTACAAGGTGAGAGAAGATGGGAGTTTAGTGGGGGAGGAGAGAAGTGGAACTGGGAAAAGGAAATGTCTTCCCCGCAAAGAACCTCATGTACTGGTGAGCTGGTTCTTCTTATCTAAGCACCTATTGGCACCAAGGATTAGAGTGTGAAACAGACAAAGCAGACACAGTGAAGACCAGGGAAGACTGGCCTCCTCAAAGGAAATTGGGCAAAGCTGGTGATGCCATATCCCTGGGTTCCCCTTTCTCCTTCATGCTTCCCTGGCAGGACTTCCAAACTGCTTCTGAAACTGGATTTTGATTTGTGTTAATCATGTCTATTGAATGCTAGTCCACTAAGGCTCTGCAGTGAATAATGTGACGTTAGCTGATCAGCATATATCGATGCATTAGTTTTATTATATAGAACTAATCTGGGGAAAAGCCACTGGTGTTTCACACTTTCACTGTCCCTAAGAGTAGGAGTGCAGGCAGGCCCCTAGGTCTTTACCAGAAGTCTCATTTTCCTTTAGGTGGTCTTAAGTCTATTCTTGACAGACTCCCCTAGAGATGGCAAGAGCTTGGGGCCTCAAAGAACAGGAAAGAGCTCGAAAGATCAGGCGCATACTAGTGACTCCTAGTGTCTGACCCAGATGCTCTGTACTTACCTTCTAATGGGTTCCCCACCCACCATATGATATGGCTTGGTACTCCCCCTAAGGACTTCTGTTGGGGTCGCATCATTCTGATGTACTGGCCAGAACCTCTTACCTTTCCTGGGAATTCAGAAAAAAGGGAGAGACTTTTGAGTCAGTAGTCCTGGCTCTGCACTTACTTACTTGGGGCAAATCTCTGAATGTCTTTGAACTTTATTATCTCCAGGACTAAAAGTTAATATTTACTGAATATATACTATGTACCCCAGGCGCTGTACTAAGTATTTTTCATGGACTGTCTCATTTAAAACTCAGAACAACCTTCTGAGTTTGATACGATTTCTATTCCCATTTTACAGATCGGGAAACAGAGTCAGAGAGATTTAAGTAATATACACAGGGCCACACGGCTACTAGTAAGTGATGGACTTGGTTATGACCTACTCCCCACCCTTTCTCCCCACCCCTGGTCTATACTGTTAACAAGGTCACCGCTATTTGGATGTCTGTCTGTCTGACTTTTCTGACATACGACTTCATCTTGGAGTCTGATTCTATTTTTGTTAATATCTTGCCCCCTATTTCTGATCCTGACTTTTTGGACATAGGTAAAGGAGAGTTGGCTGTGAGACAGGCAGCACAAATATCATTGCTTCGCGAAGGCCTGGATGTGTTTGAAGCAATGGGACAGGGAAGGGGAGAAGGTAGCGCCTATATGATTGGCACAATGCTTTTTGTTTTATGCCTGATGTTTTCATACCTCCTGATTCCTAAATAACCTCTTGTAGGTATTATTATTATTTACCCAATTTTAGAGTAATGTATCTAGAGCTGTGGTATAGCTCAGACAAACCTACATCCTGTCGGGACAGAGTAACTATTCATTCCACATAGTGACTGTCAAACCTGGCTGATTGGCCAGATTACTAGTGGAGGTTTTCAAAAGTAGAGTGAGCCCTACCACTAGAGATTCTGAATCAGTGACGAGGAAAGTATCTTTAGACAGCCCAGCCTAGTATGGGACTCACTGCATTGGTGGTATCACCTGTCATTTGGACTCTGCATTATTAGGGGAGGTTGTGAGCCCCCTTTGTCCTTCCCTTTTATATTCCCTCAGTTCCCGGTTAACTGTACCCATCAAACAATGTGTAGTCACTTTGTTAACTGGATCTCAGGGTGGAATATCCAGGGCATTCCACCCCTCTCTCCTTCACGCTCCCCTGGCAGGACTGCCTAACTGCTTCTGAAACTGGATTTTGATTTGTGTTAACCATGTCTATTGAATGCCAATCTAGTAGGGCTCTGCAGTGAATAATGTGACATTAACTGATCAGCAAATGTCAATGCATAAGTTTTATTATATAGAACTAACTTGAGTGATCGCCTTTGTAAGTTATAGGCTGTTTTACAGGCAAGTAGTTTATTCTGTTCAAATACTAGCTTGGCATTGTGTTGTTTTATAGAAATATTTCTTTATTGAATAGGTAATAACACACAAATGATGTATAAATAAAGCTCCAAAAAAGTTAAAGGTCCTTGAAGATTTCTCTTAAATAGTACTCGATTTGGATTCCTGCTTATGAATTTTTGTCAACAATTTAGGAAAAATATCAAATGGAAAATTTAAGCATCATAAATTCTGTATTAATAGAATTGAAATTATTAATACTACTGGAGAAAAGTAGAAAGTAATATCAAAAGGCAAAGTTTTGTGTAGTTTATACTATTTTCATGTTAGAGATTGATTGTGATTTTATTACTATAGCAACTTTTTTTCTACAACCACTTACCTGTGCAACAACTGTTTTTTGTATCCTGGGTCAGTAACTTTTTTAGTTCAGGGGTCATTATCAGGCTCTCATTGGCAGCTTAAGGCCTAGGTAGGGAATTCTAGTTAACATTTACTGAGCTGTTGCTACATGCCAGACGTTGTGCTAAGCACGCTGTGTAAGAGGTAGGTTCTGTTACTCCCAATTCTCATTTTTAGATGAGGAAACTGGAATCATGGCTTGCTTCAGGTCACCTGGCTGCATTTAGGATCAGATGGGAGTCTAGGCTTGAGGTCTTCTACCTTGTGTTACCGCTCCAGGAAAAGGAGAAAGAAACAGAAGGAGAAGACAAAAATATGAAATAACAAATAGTTTGGGCTTATTTCACCCATTCTGGTGTCTCTAATAGTCCTTCTAAAGAAAAAAGACTGCTACAAATGTTTGGAACGCAGAGCTTAAGTGTATATTTTGATGTGAAGATTAAAACAGTAGGAAGACAGGGGTTTTGTTTTTCATTTAGCAAGTGATTGAGTGGAAGAGAAAGTAGATGGGTAGAGAGAAACAAACTAAAGTGGCAACCTTGCCCCTAGGCTCCCTGGTGTTTCTTGGGGAGGGTAGGCACACTTGTAATGATTACAGTGCCTGGGAAGTGTTGTAAAGCTTGTGTTCATGTTGCTTGGGATCCCAGAGGAAGTTGGAGGCAGGGAGGATGGGGACCTTAGGTAGCTGGGTCTTAAAGGAAGAATGCCTTGGGCCAAGTGGAGAAGGGCATTCCTAGACAGAGGGAACAGCATGGATAAAAGTATGGAGTTATACTTAGGAAAAGACAGGGAGTTTAATGTGGCTAAAGCTAAGAGCCTGTAGAAGAGGTAGGTACAGGAGGGAAGGCTAGAAATGTAGGGTCAGTGAGAGCCTATATTTTACAAGTGGTAGAAAACTACTCATGGATTTTTATCACACAAATGTCATCAGAAAAGTACTTAGAGATGAAAGTTATGAGGAAGATTGTTTATGAGGGGGAAGGGACCATAGGCAGGAACATTCACGTGCAAGGACGTTGTGTGGTGAGGTGCTTGAGCCAGGCCTACTCCACTGCTGAGTGTGGGGCTCTAGTCATCAGGATCCTCCTCCCTTTAGAGAACACAGCCAGGGCTGTGGACAGGAGTGCAGGTGGAGGATTGGAGTCTTTGTCATCATCTGCAGAGGAGGAAGGGGAGGAAGGGAATATAATGCTCATTTGATAACTGTGATGGCAATCAGGCTTTGAGACCCAACCCACTGCAGGGAGGATGGGCGAGGTGGTTCTGAGCACAGGTTCCTTGCCCAGCCCAGGCCGTTAGCCTTCCTTTTACTGTTCCCTCAGGCCAAACTGCAGGGGCATGTGGAACCTCTAAGGAAGCAGCTGGAGGCTGTGCAGAAGATGAAAGCCAAGGAGGAGAGGCGGGTGACAGAGCTAAAGGTGGGTGGATGTCCTTTACAGGGAATGGCTGACTCTGTGGTCAGGACAGTGCAGGGCAGACGGGCTGCCCACTCTCATAGGCGGTGACTAGATCTGCTAACGGGGCAGCCGAGGCGTGGGAGAGAGGTAGACACACACCCTCCCAGGGTCCTGAGGAGAGAGGGGCATTCCCAGGTTCTAAAATGGGGGTGAGAGGCTATGTAGCCCCAAAGCCAGTGTCCCACCAGACTGTCCCCACCATGCTGGATAACAGAGAGCAGAAGGGGGCAAGGCAAAATCCATATAGCGGCCGTCGGAGAAGCCCCAGACCCCAGGGTGGATGGCAGGTGGTGGGCGGAGCAGCCCGGAGCATGAGAGAGGCCGGGGTACCTGCTAGAGGGAAGGAATTAGTCAATGTTAGAATTATAGAGCTATAGTATCTTCTAGTCCAGTGTTTCTCAGCCTTTTTTAACTGTTGCTCACTTACCCCAAGGAGTGTTTTTAGATATTTTTTCCCCAGTTCCAGCCCCTCATCCCCTATCCGTTTTTGTAAGGCAACCTGGCGCCGGAATGGCCTGGTGCCGAGCTTCAGAGACCAAGTGCACGGCACCCTTCCTGTCGGACCTCTTTCCCCACCTCTTCTGTGCCTGCCCCCTGGCCAGTGGCTGGGCCTTATTACTTCCCAGGGTCTGTGATTATTGCCACCTACACCTCAGGGACTGCTGCTGCTGGCAGCTGCCTGGCACTAAGCGGTGGCATCTGGATCTGGCAGTTCGGGAGTCATTTTGCCTCCAGCCAGCTGCCCAAATTGAGACTTTGGGGCTCCTAGTGTGCAGAGAAGGCATAAGGATCTGTGCGTCGCTGGGACAGAGGGAGAATCTGACTTATTACTTTACCCACTTGGCCAGTCAGGACTTCCCTCCCCATTCTGGCCTGTCACTCTTTGTCCCAAGAATGTCTCCAGCTGATGATACATGGGCAAAAAGTGTTCCCACCATTTGGGATTGCCCAACCCAGGCAAATGGGGTGGGGGTGGGCAGATGTGTTCTTTTTATTATAAAAGAAGTACTTATATAATAATATCCCTGATTTTACCTCTTAAAGCATGAAATATTATCTGACCCTTTACAGAAAATGCTTGCCGATTCCTGATTGAGTGATTTTCCCAAGGTCACTAGTGCAATAATCAGGACCCTAACTTCATATCTTGATTCCTGAATTTTTATTTATTCATTCCAAGAAATTTTTACCAAGCACCAATTCCATGATGGGCACTGTGCCAGGGTCCAAGGATCTTGTGGCAAACAGAGCTTTTGGTGCAGTGAGGGGAAAGGATGTTAAAGGTACTCCAATGTAAACTTATCATTTCAAATTGAGATATATGCCATGAGGAGACAGTGATATTTATGGGGGTGGTCCTGATTTAGATCTGGAGGGGAAGGGAGGCTTCTCTCAGGGAATATTTAAGCTCAGACCTGAAGGGTGAGTCAAGTTGGGTAGCCAAGGTACAGATAAATATTGCAGGCAGAGGTGGGTGAGTTTTGGACCCGTGTGCTAGGAGTGGAGGAGTGATGCCTGGTAAGGCTGGGAGGTGGGGAAGAGGACAGGTACCTCTTTCCATTTGGGAGGTAGGGCTCCTTTCTCTTGGATCAAGGGGCAGCAGTTACAAAACTGGGGGTTTATGTTTCTGTGTGTTGAGGTGGTATCCACCATCCCCTTTGCATCATCCCAGAGCCAGATGAAGTCAGAACTGGCAGCTGTGGCCTCAGAGTTTGGGCGGCTGACAAGGTTTCTTGCTGAAGAGCAGGCAGGGCTGGAGCGGCGCCTTCGAGAGATGCACGAAGCCCAGCTGGGGCGTGCAGGAGCAGCGGCCAGCCGTCTTGCGGAGCAGGCGGCCCAACTGAGCTGCCTGCTGGCCGAGGCCCAGGAGCGGAGCCAGCAGGGGGGCCTGCGGCTGCTCCAGGTGAGCAGTGCCCACTTCCCTGTCAGCTCCTGAGCACCCTGTGTTTGCTTTGTCAGGCATTGCTTACCAAACCTGTCCATGACTTCCTTTTCTCATTGGGAGGAACCCTCAGGGATTTCACCTGAGGCGGAGAATAGCATATTGTTGAATGTGGTGTGTATGTGTGATTATACGCAATGAAGATAAAGAAGATTCAGTTGTAGAAGGAGGGTCTCAAATGAGAATCGAGGAAAGAATTTTTGACAGTGACATCCTGAAAAAGATGACCAAGTCATATTGCGAGAGTTATTTTACTGGGGTTGAAAATCGTATTCCTGGGCTCCTGGTAAGATGAGATGAGTTAGGTATGCTGAGGCATACGGATGATTGGGATGGATGCCTGTTTGCTGAGGGCCTTGAGGTGCTTCTTCTCACTCCCTGTTTAAGTTCAGTCTTTCTCTGGCTGGAATCAGACTGGGAGAAAGGAGCCATCCCTGCACAGCTGACTCTCTCTTTGTCTCTCTCCCTCTCCTTCTTTGTGTTTGTTATTCCCAGGACATCAAGGAGACTTTCAATAGGTGTGTTCCCATCCTTTATCCTTTGTGACCCAGTGGCATCTGGTTCCCCATCCCTGCCTCTTTTGGCTGTTCTGCCCCTCTCCTTCCTTCCCCAGGACCCAAATTTCTGCCTCCTGTACCCTTCCCTCCTTCCCCTCAGCTTCTATTCTTCCCTCTGGGAATATCATGGTCCCACCCCCTGCCTGGTCCCCTTCCTCCAGGTGTGAAGAGGTACAGCTGCAGCCCCCAGAGATCTGGTCCCCTGACCCGTGTCAACCCCATAGCCATGACTTCCTGACAGACGCCATCGTGAGGAAAATGAGCCGGATGTTCTGTCAGGCTGCTCGAGGTAGGGAGGTCACCTGGACGACCTTCCTTTGCCTTTCCCTTCACAGACCTGAGATTGGGTTCTGAGGGAAGATGGGCCCCAGGGGAAGAATGGGGGCTGAGATGGAGCAGGCAGCAGGTAGGCCACCTGGGGCTACAAGCCAAGACTTCTTTCCTAGCCCAGGTAGGTATTGGGGGTGAGGGCTGGCAAGAAGAGCCAGGGCCAGAGGGAAGACCTGTCCATTGTCTTGGAAACAAGAGTGGGGAAGAGGTGGAACCCCTAGGAACCTGAGCCTGGCCTCTAGGAAGGGTGGGGAACTGAGGACAGCTGGGGGTCCGGGAGGTGAAGCGGGGGGAGGGCAGTAGAAGAGGCCGAACCTTGGAGCTGACTGCTGATGGGGAACAGCGGGCCGATCCCCGGCGTATTTGTCCTCCCCCCTCCCAAGTGGACCTGACGCTGGACCCTGACACGGCTCACCCGGCTCTGATGCTGTCTCCTGACCGCCGGGGTGTCCGCCTGGCAGAGCGGCGGCAGGAGGTTGCTGACCATTCCAAGCGCTTTTCGGCCGACTGCTGCGTACTGGGGGCCCAGGGCTTCCGCTCTGGCCGGCACTACTGGGAGGTAGAGGTGGGTGGGCGGCGGGGCTGGGCGGTGGGTGCTGCCCGCGAATCAACCCATCATAAGGAGAAGGTGGGTTCTGGGGGTTCCTCCATGGGCATCGGGGATGCCAGCTCTTCCTCACGCCATCACCATCGCCGCCGCCGGCTCCACCTATCCCAGCAGCCCCTGCTCCAGCGGGAAGTGTGGTGTGTGGGCACCAATGGCAAACGTTACCAGGCACAGAGCTCAACGGAGCAGACACTGCTGAGCCCAAGTGAGAAGCCACGGCGCTTCGGCGTGTACCTGGACTACGAGGCTGGGCGCCTGGGCTTCTACAATGCCGAGACTCTGGCCCATGTGCACACCTTCTCAGCTGCCTTCCTGGGCGAGCGTGTCTTCCCTTTCTTCCGGGTGCTCTCCAAGGGCACCCGCATCAAGCTGTGCCCTTGATCAGCCTGCCACCCGCAGGGGCCCCTCTGGTCAGCACTGGTGGGGCGGGTGGTGGTGGAGGGTGGCCCGTAAGTCTGGGGGCTCACATGCTCCCAAAACTGTTACTGCATTGCTTCCTACTCTTCCTTGACCCCAGGACCCTGCTCTTCTCCCTCTAGGAGCCTAACGAACCCTTCTGGCCTCCAGCTCGGCCTCCTCTCACCTACTATCTGTCCAACAGGTCTGCATGGGTCCCTGATAACAGCTGCTTGGTCTTCCCTCCCTCTGTATGCCCAGGGCCTGAATTTGAGTCGGGGAGGGGATATTTAATTTCATTAACTTCCCTCTCCCCACCCCTGCTTTTCAACCTTCATGTCAGCTCCCAGGCTGGAGGATTTGGGCAAGACTCATGACTACCCCCGTCCCAATTACATTTTCTGATGCAAGTTTTAGCTAAAGGATTTGGAAGCTTTCTGGGGGGAGGCAGGCTGGACAAAGGGTAGAGCTGGATAATAACCATCTACTCTCCAGGGGAAGGAAGGAATTCTAAACTTTCTTCCATCCCTGATTTCTACCTCCATAGACTGGCCAGAATTTAGCTTCAATGAGAGATCTGGAATGGTCGACATGATTGAAACTACATCTCCCAATAAATTATTTTCTCCCCCTTTTTTCCAGCACTTAATATAGGAGCAAAGCTCACCCTACCCCTTCCACTGCCAGGCTCCTTTCCCCTTTGTTCAGTAGAGTTCCTTTTGTCAGTCTCCATCGTCTTCGTCTTTAGTTCCATTTGATGAGCCCTGATGGGGAGCCTGGGGACCAGGGTTTGGGTCCCCATGAGGAGAGCCTTGGGTATAATCTATTTTTCTAGTAACCCTTTGCCTTGTCACTTACCAGCTTTTGTCCTGTGCTTTGGTGGCCCAGGTCAATTTCTGTTCCTGGGGGAAAGGGGAGTTGGGTCGTGTTGTGGAAATAAAAAGTTTTATTTGCTTCTTTTGTGGAGTCCATTCTTTTAGATGAACAGAATCTGAAGGTGTAACCTACAAGCCATTTCCTTTCTTCCACAGGAAGCCAGCCCTCTGCTAAACTGAGGTCCTTAATAGCATCTGTCACATCTGGGTAGTGCTGTTAGGCATGAGACTGTTCTCAGGAGATTGTGGTATAAATCCTGCCCTTCCTGTTTGTATATCCTACCTAATTTATAGGCATGCTTCATACTGTATTTGACATCATTTGCTGATTCCTATCCTACCGCTTTGAGGCTTTGGGACAATAGATTCCCCCAAATTCTCCACACCTGTGGCTCTCAGGCCCAGGACCTAGAACACATTTCCAAAGTATTTTTTGTAAGTGAATTATCTGTAAATCCCATAAAGTTGGAGCTAAAGCCAGAGATGTCTCATTGTATCAGTAAAGGAGGAAACGGAGGATTTGTACAGGCTACTTAAGCACACTGTCAAATAGCCAGCTCTGATTACAAGTATGTCCACGTCACTACAAATTTTTAAAAAATCCTGAGTATTTATTTTCACTGCTTTTAAAGGGAGAAAGACAAACATTGATCACTTGCTTCCCCTATGATATACCTGAGCCAGAGATCACCACCTTTTGGTTACCAGACACTCCAACCAGCTAAGCCACACCGGCCAGTGAAAAGGGATTATTAAGCAGTGATTCTTCTGGTGAGTTGCCCTGCCTTAATTAAAAAGCCCCATTTTAACAAAAGGCAATTTGATGGAGGCTATGTTAACCTTAACCTGATGAGTTTCATAAAAGTTTTCTGTGTTAACAATCTTCCCTTTGGAGGAATGACAAAGTGTATCTTTGTTCAATTCTTATGTATTAAGAGAGACCCTATCATTCTGCTGATTGCAGAATGCATTCAAATGACTGCAACCAGTGTGAATCATCAGTTCCTTTCACTGAACAATTTCTCCAGACTTATGGGAGGCTGTGAGAATCTACCTGAAAAAGGACACTGTAATGAGGGTATCTAACAGACTGACATCACCCCCTCCACTGCCCAAGTCTTGTTACTAGGCTCAGGCTTCCAGTCTGCCAGTATCTTAACCTGTGAGCAGCACAGCACAGGAAGCAGGGTTGGTTTGGTTTTTTTTTAATCAGAGAAAGACACTTTCTACAAGTCAAAAACCAGGTTTTTCTTTTATTTTTAAAGCTCTGCCAAATATTTCTAGCGGGTGCCGATAGTCACCTGCCACACTCGCACCAGGTTGTCTGTGTAGCCGGCAAAGAGAGTCTGCAAAGGAGAAATGGTGGTGGTGAGTGAGAGCCGTGGAATGCTGCAGTCCCACCAGTCTGGCAAAGATGGCCCTTAAGATCCCCACTGTTCTACCTGATTATGGGTGATTACTCCTAGAGGAAGCAATAGCTGGTAATAAGGATTCACACGCTTGTAAACTTGTCAAAGTTAACTGAAGGCAGGCAATCACTGCCCTCCAAACCATAACCCTCCCTCCAACGCAGGTATATACACACACTATGTTCACTGGCACAGCTAAGTAGCACTCCCCCACCCCCAATCATCCTAACGTCATTTTACTTTACATAAAAGATGCTGGTCGTGACTGGCGGACGAGACACACCCACTTACCTGGCCATCAGCAGACCAGGCCAGAGAGGTGCACTGGGGTGGTTCTGCCTTGCTGCTGGTACTGATAACTTCTTGCTTCAATTCATCTACAATGATCTTTCCCTCCAAGTCCTAAGAGTAAGGAAACTTAGCACTTTAATGCCACAGACACAAATCCCACCCCCTTCAAAAGCCTCTTTATAACTCAGTGATTTCAACAGAGGATTTTTTTTTGCCACCCCTCGTATTTGGCAATGCCTAAAGGCATTTTTGGGAGGGAGTTTGCTATAGGCATCTAGTGGGGAGTAAAGGCCAGGGATGATGCTAAACACCCCAAAAAGCACAGGACTGCCCCATGAATTATTCAGGCCAAAATGTCATTTGTGCTGAGGTTGAATGAGCTGCTATTATTGGCCATCCCTTTTCAGAGGCAAAGAGCTCCTCCTCATTGCAAATCCCGACCCCAAAAAGTTTTAACTAGGTTTTCCTTGGTCCCCACCAACACCCTGACAGTTGTTCAGGAAAACAATGTTGTCAGGGCTTACAGAATACAGGTAGTTGCCTGGGCTCAACTGTGGTCCATACTTACCCAGATCTTGATGCTGGGGCCAGTGGCAGCACATAGCCAGTAGCGATTAGGGCTGAAGCACAGGGCGTTGATGATGTCCCCACCATCAAGTGTATAAAGGTGCTTGCCTTCATTGAGATCCCACAGCATGGCCTGGCCATCCTGGGAGAGGAAAGGTGAGTCAGGACAATGTGACCTCTTCCAGATGTCAATCCCAGCTGCCTAACGACTGTCTTAATTCTTAACTACCTGCACCCCTATACCCTTAACTTCCCTAACACTAAAGACTCAAGTACCAATATTTACCTTTGTATACCTTTCCTTTAATACACCACCTCACCAATCCTACCAAAAGCCCGTGACTTTTAAATCACTATGATCAGTCTGGAAAACAAGACCCTGATCTCATCAACAGTTCCAAGAACCAGCTTTACAGAAGACAATCTTTTCCCTTTAAACAGTATGCCTCATCTACATCATTCCCAGGAAATGATCTTTAGAAATGCTGATTTTTGAATTGCTATCTCATTCTCTTAAATATTCCTTCTAAGACCCTGTCCCCACTGAGTAAGAGACTCATAGCCCCTGAGTACCTTGCCTCCAGAAGCACAGAGGGATCCATCTGGAGAGACAGTCACAGTGTTCAGGTACCCTGTGTGGCCAATGTGATTGGTCTTCAGCTTGCAGTTTGCCAGGTTCCATACCTAAAGTGGGGGGTGGGGAGTAGTGGTCAGAAGTAAGAACCTGGTTCTGGGTCTGCCAGAGTCAGAAGAGCTCAAGCTACACAGAAGGGGTTTTTAAACCCCATTTAAAAGCATTGCTGGATAGGGTGGCCATTAAAAAAAAAAAAAATTTCCAGCAGTAACCAAAGAGCTAAAGAGTTTGTCCTGGCCACTTATAGACGATTAGGATTAAAACAGCTAACAAAAGCTCTGTTGTCTTAAAAAGAGACTCAGGTTCATCAATTAGCTACTTTAGACCAACTATCAAGATGAAGAAAGTAAAAAGAGGGAAAAAACTTTCAAGGCTGGAGCCTGTGACCACCTGGGAGACAGTGGGAACACATCCCAACCAGCAAAGACCTTGGTTCTAAGCTCACCTTGACCAGCTTGTCCCAGCCACAGGACACGATGATGGGATTGCTGCTGTTGGGTGAGAAACGAACACAAGACACCCACTCTGAGTGGCTCTCATCCTACAGGTGAAAAAGAAATTAGGGAAATTCATCTTGTCCCATGAACCTCTGGACCCCCACTCCCTGGTTATAATGACAATCGTTAAGATCAATGAGGCCTGAAATCAGTACATAAGGTCCAGGTTAAGGGTGGGAAAGAACCTTTACATGCACCTTCACTTTACCTGGACAGTGTATTTGCATACACCCAGAGTATTCCACAGCTTGATGGTTTTATCTCGGGAGCCAGAGACAATCTGCCGGTTGTCAGAAGAGAAGGCCACACTCAGCACATCCTTGGTATGGCCTACAAATCGGCGCGTGGTGGTGCCCCTGGGAGGAAGGACTTGGTCACTGTCTAGAAAGACTTTTCAAGCATTCTTCCAGCGAGACTGTTTCCTTGGTCTTGTTCCTGCCCCAGCAGAGTTGCACTTACTCCACAACCCTGGACATGGCTCTGATCACAGCAGGCTGAGAATAAGCCAAAGGATCCCTTCAGAATTGCAGGACTTGTCCTCATTCCCACGTGGGGATTGGATGACAATGTCACCTGTCATCACCAGGATCTTCCATTATGCCTGACTATCCAAAGACTGAGCTCCCAAGACAAAACCTGTTCAAACTCTTGCCTATTCCCAACAACAGTATCTGGCAAAACTGCTCAATGAGACCCCTCCTTAGCACTTCTACATGAGTAACTGAAAGCAAAAAGGAGGGAGGTCAAACAACTAATTACCCTCTCTAGGTACTCTCTGCACTCAGAGTTCCCACAAAGGACCTGAGCCCAAGAGAAACCACCTCCCAACAGTACCTCCCTCATTTCTGCTCACTTTTCCCCAATGCCCCAGAACTAAATGAGCAGCTACTTGCGTTGTGAGATCCCAGAGGCGAAGGGTTCCATCCCAGGAGCCAGAAAGGGCAAACTGGCCATCGGAGGAGATGACCACGTCACTAACAAAATGGGAGTGACCACGAAGAGCACGCTGTGGGATGCCATAGTTGGTCTCATCCCTCGTCAGCTTCCACATGATAATGGTCTTGTCTAAGGGTAAGTAGAAAATAAAACCCAGTGAGGAAGCCCACATGTCACTTGCTCACCTCCTGGATAATCCAGGATGCCTCAAGGTCACTGGTGGGTCTACAAGGTAACAAGTTAAGGACAGTAAGGGAGGGAGGGGAACTGCAGGTTGTGAGAGTATGAGCAGCCAAGGCCACGTGGCTATTCAGAAGAGAGCTAAACAGCACGGTGAGAATTTAACTCAGGTGTGCAGAACTTCACCGGTGATTAAGGATGCCCTTTTCTGAGCTCGAGACCAATTCAACATCTATTTAGTTTTATCCGATCTCTGATGCAAAACACAGCGACTTGGATGTGAGAAGCGTAGCTGAGAGCTGCCAACAGTGCTGGACTTAGGTCGCTTTACACACTACAGGATAGATGCTCTCACTAAGACGTGTTTCACTCACGCTTTCCGATTAGCACCCGACACGAGCCTAGGGCCTTAGACCATTTTTAATAGTGTGGGCACAAATGGAAGTAACAAGCTTCCTTCCAAACGCAGTCAGATACAGAGATGAGGAGGAGAACCGAACACAGAAAGAGCAGGCTCGGGCCCATCCGGAGTCTCGTTTCACTCGGTCCCCTTGGAGCCCACCCACTTCCCATCGAGCACAGGGCCGGGCGGCTACTCAGAAACAGCCTCTGGGTTTCAGCACGGGCACTCAGATGGCATGTTGGTGTCATCACCGCCTCACCCGACCCGTAGGCTCCTGGGCGCACTTAAACACACCTGCAGTGAGGTGAGCAAGAAATAAAAAAGCCCCCCACCCTGCAACCCTCCTGGCAGCCACTGGCTGATCTGACCTATGTCTTGATGTGTGCATCCCGGCTGAGGCACAGATCTGCATTCCTAACTCACACCCAAAGTTTCCCTGGCCGCCAATACGCGTGCAACCCCGTTGTTCGCCAATCCTGTCCGACACCTCAGCCCGTACCTCGAGAGGCGGACAGTATCATGTCCGGGAACTGAGGAGTAGTAGCAATCTGGGTCACCCAGCCATTGTGGCCCTTGAGGGTGCCACGAAGGGTCATCTGTTCAGTCATGGCGGTGGCGGGTGCGGGTGTCGCCGCAGCGACAAGGATGGACGCGGATACTTCACAGAGACGAGCAGCACGGGAGCTCCCGCCGCGGCCCTGCCGACGAAAAGGGAGAGCGAGCCTCCGCCGGAAGCGGAAATACCCGCCCTCTCTTCCAAAATGGCGGCCCCCATGATTCAATTCTACGCAAGATGGCGGTGCCACGTAGTGCATAGGGCGAGGTGAAATGACAAGATTTCAAGTCCTCTCGCAACGCAACATAATTTTGTAACGCATGCAAATACATTGTGGAAACAACACTACCGTGTTTTAAATACCTCCTCGAACGCTGATATGGACGTGAGGTCTAAGAAGCGGAAGAGGGAGTATACCAAGCAAGTTCTACTGAGGACCGCATATCCTCGGCCTATCACCTTGGTGGCTCAGTTGGTAACGATGGGCAATACGAAAAATAAGGTATCACATTTTTAATATAAATTGTCTCAGAAGAACTAATAAACCCTAAAAGATTTCCGTGCGCAGGGAGCGGCTTTTCCCTCAAGAGGTTTACGTTCTGATGGTTTTGGCGGAGGCACTGTGAGTCCGGAAGTACGTAGTCAACGCCGGGCTAAAGCAAAAACTGGCTACAGAGCCGGAAACACGGGATGGACGAGAAATCGGTCTGTGCGCGGGGGACGACCGCCTGCTCCCGCCGCGGCTAGAGCGCGGGGGGCTGTCGCAGAAACTGAAAGGCCCCGGACCTCTGGGAACTCGGGTAGAAAGCCGCCTCCGGGCCTAACCACCTTACAGAAAGGCCCGGAAGGACGTGCCCCAGGGCAAGTAAGCAGTTGGCTGTGACTATCTGGCTGCCTGCCGGCCTCCCTTTGAACCGCTTGGCGTGTGAATGTGTGGTGCCTCCCACTCCCGCACACCTCTAATGAGAGACCAAGCTGGCAGCGTTTTTCTCAAATGCTTTTTTAAAAGGGTGGGGTACATCAGGATGATGGCGGCCGTATCTAAGCAAAATGAAGGGAGAATTATACATCAGCATTTATTTTTGTTCGTAACATCTATTAATTGTAGTTTCAAATCTGTGAAATGAGATTGGAAATTATCGCACCCACCTCACATGGTGGCGTGGAGACTAAATGAATTACCATAAATGGGTAAAGCGCGCAGGACAATGCTGGCAGATTTAATGCCCGCGACTCATTCGGAACCGCTCTTCAGATCCAGGCCCTGTTTTAGGTCTTGGGGAGGCGGGGCCCGTTTTTTGGGGTTAGATGGGGCTGGCGGAAGGGATGCTGGGGGCAGATTGGAGCAAAGACAGGAGATGTGGGACAGACTCCTGTGGGATTAGGGAGGGAATAATGTTCCAGTTTCAGGGAAGGTATATGGGAGGAAATGTCTGCGTTGGAAAAAGCTGGAATGTTAGAGATGCTGAGACGGAAGTGAGTCGGTGTAAGGGGGCCTCGCTGCCTTGGGGAAGGATCTTGGCAACGAGTGCTGGATTGCCTTTGGGAAGGAGGGCAGAAGTTAGTCGAGGGGAAATGGCAAAGCTGCTGCGGGCTATGGCTGCTCAGGTGTGAGCAGATCCCTCCTCTGAGAGCACCTGCTCTCCTGGTGTCTTGCAGACTCTCCTGCCTTCCTCAGGGCTCTGTCCTGACTGTGCTTCTCCATAGCTTGATGACTCACCCAAGTAGCCACCTGCATCCCCAACTGGCTGTCCTTTCACCTTTCTAACACTGCACTGCCCCCCAACCCACCTGTTTTGTTTCTCCTGTGGCATAGTCCCCGCCTTCACCCATCCCAGTATCAGCTCGCTGCCCGTGACTCTGGTCAGACCAGTGACTCCTCGCATCTGGGCGTGTAGATGTGTTGCGCAGGGGCTTCCCTGGCTGTTGGTCTGTTCAAAGCAGAGGATTTCCTCTCTGCCTGCCACAGCATTTGTCTTCCACCTCCTACTTCCACTTCCCAAAAACATTAAAACTCAGTGACGTTATATTTCCCCCTCGAGAAACCTCATTGGGCTCTTGAACTATGACCAGAGTGTCCCTGTGGAATTGGTATCTCTGAGGTAGGGCCAGGAGGCCAGGTTTGAAATGAGGCTCCCACATCCCTAATGCATGCTCAAGGATGGGACCTTTCTGCACTGCTGGGCCCCTTTTCAGAAGAGGTTGGTCCCCAAGTTTGCCCCTGTTTCTGTGTGTCTTCCCAGATCTGGAGACCTAGACTGCGACCACAATAGATGCCTTTGCCCTAGAGCCCAGTCCACCAAATCCAAGCTGGTGATGCCAGTGGAGGAGAGGGAGAAATGGAACATCGTGGACTTTCTGGACAATCAGACCCTGCAGGATTCGGGCTTTACACTTACAGTTTTCCTCCACGCACTGCCTGGCCTCTCTCAGAGGGGAAGACAATAGGCTACAATGCCACTGTGGGACAGTCCTGAGCCAAGAGAGGGGTCTCCTCAACCCTGGGGACCACTTTTGAGTGTAGCTAGGAGCAGGGACAGGGTTGAGGCATCCTTTCTCGCTCAGATCCAGCTGGAGTTGAGCCTTACCCACACCTGCCTTTCTCAGGCCCATGTGGTTCCCTGCTAGGCATACCAGCTCCCACCTGGCCCCAACACAAGGACGCACCTGGACTCTTCACTCCTCTCAACCAGGAATCGGTAGATTTACTCTTTGTCAGCAGAGAGAGCTCAGCTACTGCCTACAACGTGGCATCTCTCATGTGTCTGAGAATCCAGCTGTGCCTCCAACAAATCCACTGCCTGCCCAGGCCAGGCCTTCAGTCTTCTTCCTTCTCACCCAGAGTGTAGACTTTTTTCCAACCCCTTGGAGGAGAAAGCCTGCTGGTGGCCCCACCTGGCCTTTGAGGAAGACTCAGACTGCCTTCAGAGCCTCCCCCACCAACAAACACCCTTCTAGGCTGGGCCTAGCCCTACCACTCACAGTGGGGAATTCATCTGGGTCTCATGAACTTCTTGCTGGAACCACTGGGCTGTCCTCTCTCCCATGTCCCAGTGGGTAGCACTTCCATTCCTTACACAGAAGGTAAGAATCCCAAGAGGAGACTGGAGAGGTTCTTTTAAGGAAGTTTGTCTTCACCATTTCTTTTCTGGAGGGAGCCTGCAGAACCTGCATAGCTGGAAAGAGCCCCTTGGGTTTCTTGCCAGAGGCCCAGGATTTCTTTTCCAAGGAGCAGGGGCCTTCAGCCCTCCTGCCAGCATTCAGGTGAGGGCTATTATAGGTGGCAGGCACAAAGCTAAGGGAAAGGAAAGTCCCCTTATCCTGCCTTCCTTTTCTTAGTTAAATCTAAGCTGCTTTAAGGTCTCAACTCAGGTTGCCACTGCAAGGAAACACTCTGTGACCCCTGGTCTCAGTCAGGCTCCTTTGTTTCACGCCCTCGTGGTTTGCTGGGCCTTCACAGCACTTAGTTCTATTTGCTGTTGAATCCCTGAGGCCTGCCTCTGAGTGCTCTGAGGACAGGGACTGGTCTGTTTCTGCTCCCATACTGCATTCCCAGCACAAGGTGGGGGGGTTGGCATGTGGAAGATTCTAATCTTTGTAGCCAGCCTCAGACTCAGTAAAGGGCGAGTAGTTAACAGGATGGGAGGGTGTTCAGGGAGGAGGTGCACAAGTGATTTGCATGCAAAAATTTGGGGGAGATGGTTTCAAGAGGGATGGTAGGAGAGAATGAGACCAGCGGTGGGCAGGGAGTCCTGGTCCAGAAGGAATTGACTGCTAAGGACTCTGGATTTTGTCCTGAAACCTCAGGAGTTCTCTGTAGGCTTCTCATCCCTCTCCTGCCGAGACATGAGTTTGTTAAAAGGCATGTGTTGTCACATTGTAGGCTGGGCTGGTGTAAGACTAGAAACAAGAGTTCTGAAGCTGGATAGAAGGGTTTCTAGTAGGGTCATGAAACCTCTAGGAAGGGAGGGACTGAGGGCTGACCAAAGGCCTTATGAGTGAGGATTTGAACATCTCTTCCAGTCTCTCTCTCCTTCCTAACCCACCTTCACTCCAGAGTCTAGAATTGGACTGTATATAGGAGTATTTAATGATTGTATATTTAATAATTGAGGCCTGAAGAATTAAGCTCGAAAAGGTTGGTGAGACAAGAAAACATGGGAGTATAATTACAGGTTCTATTCCATTCTTCCTAGCGAGAGTTGTCATGTGGCATTAAATCAATGCCAGGAATAGACCTTACAAGAAATCACATGCTTTTTTTTTTTTGAAGTAAAGATTCAGTATCCATCTTAGGCAGAAATTCGAGCTCTAACAGTCCCTGAGAGAGCAGACCTGAAGGCACTCTGTTGGGTCTTCCCTGAGAGACAGACTGTGGGAGTCCCCAGGCCTTTGGTGCTTTAGGAGATGTGCAGTCAGAAGCTGTGGAAGTGGGCGTGGCCCAGGTAGGACTGTAAGAAATGCAGGGAGAAGGCAAACCTCTGGCCTTGTTCAAGGATATAAAGCAGCATTAGGTGGTAGAAAAAAATAAAAGCTGACCTAAGTTGCCTTTTCTGAGCTTTTTACCACGAAGAGAATTTCACATGGACTAGGGTCAGGAGAATGTGTTGAAATGGAAACTTGAGGCTGATCAGTTTTCCACAGATATGAGGGGTGCAGAGGACCTTGCTCACACTTGGGTTACAAAGCCAGAGCCTGCTGAGAAGGACCATCCTTTGTTGTATGGGAGAGAGGATTCTGTATATGTAGGAAATAGCAGACAAAAAGTGGGTATGGGGCCTCTAGGAAGTCTCTTCCAGGGCACCTGGATCCCCTTTATCTTTGTGGGCCCTGCTTGGTGCCAAGTGGAATTGTCAACCAGAAGGCTTAGACTAACTCTGGATCTAAGTAGGTTAGGATGAGGGAAAAGGTTAGGAAGGCATAAGTATGAACCTCGGTAGGTGGGATAGCTATGGAGGAATGAGCCTTCCTGTTCTTTATAAAGATTTTATTTATTTATTTTTAGAGAGAAGGGAAGAGAGGGAGAGAAACATCGATGTGGAAGAGGTACATCAATTGGTTGCCTCTTGCACGCCCCAACTGGGGACCTGGCGCACAACCCAGACATGTGCCCTGACTGGGAACCAAAGCAGCGACCTTTTGGTTTGCAAGCCAGCACTCAATCCACTGACCCTCACCAGCCAGGGCCCTCCCTGTTCTTTAATACAAATCCGTAAAGTGTCCATTTCCCCACTTTGGGAGGGTAAGAGGTGGGAAGAAAAGTACTAACTTAAAGGCCGTTTCCTTCTTTGCAAGTGTGATAACAGGAGCCTTGTTGCGATAGTTTTCAAAAGCAGAGATGAGCCATTTCTTTCCAAGCACAGAACTCATACTGTACTTCTGGGGACTCTGTGGCTTGTGGGCCAAGACTATCATTAAAAGTGTAATATATCACCACCTTTAGCTGTTATGGTCTCCTTCAGCCCTGCTCTCTGTATGCCTCCATCCTCACTCCTTAATGCTGCCAGCACAAACTGCTTTCCCTTCTTGGCCTCCAAGGCCTCCTCACCATCCTCTGTCAGGATTTGCTGTGAGATGAAAAAGGGAAGAACCCACTACCTGCTTAGGACTAGGTTTTGCCCCACATCCCATTTTCAGAATGTCAGGCATCAAATAAAGCCTTATTTATACTTACAGCCTTCCTATGTTGAGGACCCAGCCTCGGCTTTTTTAGGGAAGGGGGAATACAATTTTTTTAAACTAGTTTCTATTAGTTTCTCCTCTGTCACATGCCCCACAAGTGAAACTGGCTCAAGGCTGTTTTGGTTAGATTTTTTAAAAATACAAGAAAGCCTTCCTTTAAATATTTTCTCCTTTTATACCTAAAGATATCACCTTGCAGCTTACTTCTGATTGGGAAAAGAAGTTGTCTCTCTTCTTTTCATCTTCTGTTTGGACTGGCTACTACTCTTTAGGGTCCTAGGAAGGAGCAGAATTCAACCTGCCTTTGCATAGAACTATCCAGTTCAATATGATTTGATAGCCACTAGCCCAGCATAACTATTTAAAATCCATTAAAATTAAATACAATGAAAAATTCAGTTCCTGAGTTGCACTAGCCACATTTCAAGAGCTCAAAAGTCATATGTAGTCAGTGGTACCTATTGTACTGGAGAGCACAGACTTAGAATACATCCATCAGTGCAGAAAGTCCTTTTAGACCTAGTGTAGAGGACTAGTATCCCTGCCCCACCCCCCTTTGTAATCCCATGTTATCAATCAGTAAATATTTGTAATAACTTCAGTGTTACAGGATAACTTTCAGAGGGGTTGACGGATTCAAGGTGGGAGATAACATGGAATCTGTAGGTCCTATAAAAGTTTCAGGAGGCATGGCATGATGGCCAGAGGTTGATGGCCAATGGCAGGGCAGTCTTAGCTTTTAAGGAAGCACTTTATGGGTGGTTGTTAATATGTATTGGGGCCATCAGGGCCCAGGGCCACCCACAGACTCTGATCCTTCTTATGTATTAGTTCTGCATAGTAATTAAAAAAACAAAAAGGACTGTCCCATGGCCTTGCTGAAACTGAGTGGGTAAAGTGATTGCTTTTTATTACTTATCATTTCTAGATCTTGATTTCATATACTGCTTTGTCTGTCATAGTCCTGTTCTCCCAACTGGCAGTGACCTAGGCAACTCTAGTGTTTAAGAAAAGCTTACTGACCCTGCCACCTGCACTCCCAGAGCTGGGAAAAGTCTGGGTCCTATCAATGAACCTACTGAGATTAAGACTACATTTAATAAGGTACCAGCTAGGTGAGGCTATTCTTCCACTGAACACTTTTGAACACCTATGCCAGACACTGGCTATAGGGCCTAAGTGGGGCTGGTAATAGCACATCTGTGGATATGATGGGTTCTCTGAGTCTAAACAAGTGGTTCTCACCCAGGGATGATCTTGTCCCTTTCCTCCCCCAACATGTCATCTGGCAATGTCTAGAGACATCTGTTGTCACAGCTGGTGGAGGGTGCTACTTACACCTAGTGGGTAGACTCCAGAGATACTGTTAAACATCCTAAAATGCACAACTCTCCCCCTTCCACACCAAATAATTATTTCACTCAAAATGTCGATAGTGCTGAGGTTGAGAAACTCTAGACCACAACATGGATCATTGAAACTAGTTTTTCAATGCCAAGACTAATCATGAGATCCAGGTTCAATAGGATAATAAGTAAGGCTAGCAAGTGTCTGATAAATTGGGAAGGGAAAAATTAACAGTCTATGGAATAGTAGCCTCCAGCTGAAGGGCAGGTATAACTGGAATGTGTTTAACTGCACCAGAAGGCTAAGAGCTAAGGTCATAGTGCAATTAGAATTGAGAATTTCAGATGTGTAGCAAGTCTGTGTGAAGATGAGGTCCTGGGTATAGCCACAAGAATAGAGGAGCTAGTTTATACAGCCAGACTTGTGATACAGTGGTCAACACCTGGACCAAATAGGGAAGACATTCAATAAACAGGTGAGCGTCTGATGGATATGGATATACCAATGTTGCTCAACATTTTTGTAACCCATACCTATACTTCTCATATATCTAAGCATCTTACATTCTCCTTCCAGTGATATTTAAATTTTCAAAATTAAGTATCACAACTAAAATTAATAA